TGAAAAAATCTGATACTGAGGAGAAAAGATATTTAGACCATTTGGGAAGTTCTTTGGTCAAAAAGTCTGATACTGAAGAGAAAAGATATTTAGACCATTTGGGAAGTTCGTTGGTGAAAAAATCTGATACTGAGGAGAAAAGATATTTAGATCATTTGGGAAGTTCGTTGGTCAAAAAGTCTGACAGTCAAGAAAAAAGATATTTAGACCATTTGGGTAGTTCACTGGTTAAAAAATCTGACAGAGAAGAAAAAAGATATTTAGACCATCTGGGAAGTTCGTTGGTGAAAAAATCGGAGAGCCCGGAGTTGGCAAGATTTGAGCAGCGGATGTTTACAGACTACAACAACGACCTTGTTGCTATGGAGAAAGACTTCCTGGAGAAGAACAGAGAACTCCAGCAGTCGAGCCCGGATGTGACGTCACAGGGGAACAAACGTTATCTGGACAGGATCGGCAGCTCGCTGGTGAAGAAGGAAGACGACGAGGATACAGAGGTGGACGAAGACGGAGTGGGGCTATTTATAGATTTGGAAAAAGATGAAGATGAGAACGACTTGAGGCAAATGGCGGGCACGAGAGCAGGTAACCACAAGAGATATCTGGACCGTGTGGGCAGCTCGCTCATCAAGAAACAGGCGCAGGCTCAGAAACGATACCTAGACGGGATCGCAAGTTCGCTCATTAAAAAGGAAGACAGAGGCCAGAAACGATATTTAGATGGAATCGCAAGTTCACTCATAAAAAAAGAAGACAGAGGCCAAAAACGATACTTGGACGGGATCGCAAGTTCGCTCATTAAAAAGGAAGACAGGGGTCAGAAACGATACTTAGATGGCATCGCAAGTTCACTCATCAAGAAAGAGGATGGTTTCGTTGGCGACATCCCAAACGGACAAGAAAAACGATATTTGGACGGTATCGCCTCTTCCCTGATAAAGAAAAATGAACTAAAAAGCGAAAAGCGTTATCTGGATGGTATCGCAAGTTCCTTAATAAAGAAAGACAACGTACAAGAAGAAAAACGATACCTCGATGGCATTGCCAGCTCTTTGATTAAAAAAGAAGTCAGACCCGGACAGAAACGATATCTAGATGGTATTGCAAGCTCTCTCATAAAAAAGGACTCGACAAACGAGAACAAGCGATATCTGGACGGTATCGCCAGCAGCTTGATCAAGAGACAGGACTCGGTGAGCGATGAAGAAAAGCGATACTTGGACAGTATCGGCAGCTCTCTCGTGAGGAAATCGTCCTCTACGACTCCGTACAAACGATACCTGGACCAGGTTGGGAGCTCCCTGGTGAAGAAAGGGGCATCAGAGATGGGACCATACGAGGTGATTCCCGAGGCTGTCTACGTGGGGGAGGGGATCTCTGCGGGCGGGGAGGGGCCGGTGTACGTCACCATTGACGGTCAGCTCCCCATTTTGGCCATGTCCGAGACTGACCTGCCAATGGCCAGCCCCAGGAAGCGGATGTACGAGGTGACAGATGACGTCATGACCGGAAGTGGTCACCAACAGCTGGTGGACGATATGGCGGCGGCGATCCACGTGTCGGCCAAATGGGCAGGACTGACAGGTAGGGGCAGCGTGGTAGGGCGATCTTGTCTTATCTTGAATGTCGTTGTTGTCATCATCATCATCATCATCATCATCATCATCATCATCATCATCATCATCATCATTATTTAGAACCTTCTGCCTCACCACTAGCTCACATGTTGACCAGGTCGAGTGCCGATTGGGTAAACGTTTTGTAACGTTTTATTTACGTGGCGTTAGTGGCCTAGTGGTTAGGCTCATCTTCATCATCCAGTGCCAGATCTGCGACAGAGATCGGCGATTATGGTTTTCCATTCATTCATTTGCTCGGATGCTCTCAAAAAAGCTACGTTTCCCTGATCTTTCCCAGGTTAGGCTACCGGACTCGTAATCGTGAGGTTGTCGGTGGCCTAGAGGTTAGGCTACCGGACTCGTAATCGTGAGTTTGTCGGTGGTCTAGTGGTTAGGCTACCGGACTCGTAATCGGGAGTTTGTCGGTGGTCTAGTGGTTAGGCTACCGGACTCGTACTCATGAGGTTGCGGATTCGGGGGTTCGAGCCGTGGGCCCGACGTTGTGTCCTTGGAAAAGGCACTTTACACGAATTTTCCTCACTTCACCTAATTGGGAATGGGTACCCAGCTATAGACATCGAAAGGTCTTCTCAGTATGTTAATGTTTTAGCTCCTATAAATGGCTGCATGCACTGTATGCATCCCCGAAAGTTGAGGTTGTTTTAGAATGCTATCGGGTCTGCTGGGGTAATAGTATAAGTTGTGAAACGCAAAGAGATTGCTGTTGAGCGGGAATTTGCGCTATACAAATGCTATCTATTATTATTTATGATAATGGTTACGAGTTTCGATCCTACCTGTCAGGGCCTACCCGGGCTAAAAGGGATATAAAATCCCGCTAGAAAAACAGAGATACTCGATAAACCTTCTCCCCACTCGGGAATAGAACTCCTTTCTCCTGTGTTCGACAGCGTAACGCCTAACCTCTACACCAAAGAAGCCAGACAAAATGGTTGTATCACAGACTCTAATGTGTCTCACGTCCATTCATTTCAGTACCTCTCATGCCTCTACCGTGCTTTGGGAACCTTTACTTTTCCCCTGTGAATAACGGACCGATAAAGTCACTTTTCCACTTTCTTTCTTTTAAAAAACTGTCTGTCTGATCGGTATTATAATCTGCTCCTATCTCTCTCCCAAGAAAAGATATTTAGACCATTTGGGCAGTTCGTTGGTGAAAAAATCTGACAGTGAAGAAAAAAGATATTTAGACCATCTGGGCAGTTCGTTGGTCAA